ATCTATGAAGAAAGGGGCATACATTTCTTAATGGCCGTTCTCACTGCCATTCAAGCAACTACTTGCATTTAGATTGGTGGGTGCTGAGATCTCCAAATGTCTGGTATCATGTGACTAGGTTGAAAGGAAGAAGTAGCCATAAAGATACTACACAGAGATTAGACTTTCTCGCCGTCCGAAATGAAAATTCACAACAGTGTCTGTTAAAATGACAATGTCCAGATGCTTTCCTAGTCATACTGTGCACTAGGGGTGCATCTCTCCCATCTAAGACGATCCAACACATATCTAGATACATGGCCTGTGATACGATTCAGGGACGATGCATTTTAATGTTAATATAATTCTTCACATTTGTTTAATGTAGAAATTCTTAATTAAAATAAGCCAGTTCTATAACAGTAACATTGCTTAGCTTCAAATACATATTTTATAAAATACCAGGGAATCCCAAGTATGTTTTTCTTTATCGCATGGGGGAAAAAATGGATAAAAGTCTCATTTCAGAAATATATGTCGTATTTATTGCTTTTCTGACAGACACATAGAAAAAGACTTGCTGTGATTACTTTAGACCTCGCTCAGTTGGAGTTGTGGCTGGAAAGTGTTTAATATCTTGCGTGTTGTTACTTGTGCTAGCTGTATTAGCATCAACAGACTCCTCGTCGCCTGCAGAGGTGTCACCATGCCGTCTCACCAGGTGAGTGTTAAGATCTGTCGTACTACCACTGTACATCATTGCTGTCCGACATATCTTACAAATGGCAAGACTTTTGTCCAACTTTCCTTCATTCTTATAGAATCCAAATGTCTTCCAGACTTCAACTTGATGGTGCACTGTACATTTTTGGACGTTTGTTTATGTGTCCTCCTCACAAGCCACACTGCGCTATTGTTACTCTCGACGCTCTTAATGCGAAACCCTCGCGACCTTTTACCTTTCATGAGAGTGGAGATGCAGCAAAGCTTTAGTCCGCCAATTCATAACTTTGATTCATAGATTTCTGACTCATATTAGTACATCTTTACACCCCCACTGTACACCTAAAAAAAGAAAAAACTTTCTCTTTTGTGTTTTTTATTAAAATCTTGACTTGGACTCAAATCACTGATGGTAAAATTTGATGATGGGTTGCATTTGTGTCCAATCAAATCAAGACATCTGATTGAGTCAAGGCACCTTATGAAACAGTGTCCTGGCTGATTCAGTTCACCAGTGCACCAAGATCTCCTGACCTTTATGACCCATTTTTGAGAATAAAACTCTTCAGTTATTCTTAATATGCTGATGACATCATTCATGTCACAAGGCATGTTTAATAACATTTGAAACAACAAAACAGCTATGGGGCAAACACATGGGCTGAGGATCCAGCTTTGTTTACTTTCAGGGCACACACAGTCTCTGTTGACTGGACACTGACTGTGTCTGCATAGAGCGGGGCACAGACAGGCCAGCATCCCACACTGGTTTGTGCTGTAAGGCATTGTGCAATATTCTTGGAGTGTATGATTTGGAGTTTTTTAATGTGCGTGTGACACTGTAGTTCGATTGTGCGTGTGTGCAGTTTTTCTACTGTAAAGGCTAATCTAATCAAACTGCGGTGTCCCAGTAACATCCTAACCACTTTTCATGGTTCGATTTTTTGCATTGCATTTTGCATTGAACTGTGTTTTGACGGGGGAACCAGTTCATGTGAAAAATTATTTGACCTTGACCCCGAAAGATCTCTGGTTGTCAATGTCTCGTGGTTTCTGCAGCTGCACTTGCATGATATTGGAAAAAGCCGAAAGAACAAGATGACCTATTGTCTCATCTCCAATGATTGCATTTTGGTTCATAATAATTTTATTATAATGGCTAAATGGGCTATAAATAAACTGCAGCGCACATTGATCACAGAGTAATATGCTGTAAATAAGCTGTTACACTTATGTGATAACACATGACAAAACCCACAACCACATGTGTAGCTCATAAATGCTGCGTATATATGTTCGAAATGTTTTCCATTCTGTCTACTGGTTAATTTGTGGGTGTTAATGATGTTATGATACTGTAAAGTCCTGCGAGTTACAACTATTGAATGAAAGGTTCTTCAGTATTCCACTGATTTGAACACTTCCTGGAACATTATCCAACATTTTTTCTTTAAACCTGCAGAATATGCAACTATTTTTTAATATACAGTAGTTGCATGCTTATCTCTTTCTGTATCAGAAAAATGTGAAAACACACCATTCATACTGTATGCACCATGCATAATTCAACTTGTCAAGCTAGCTTCCAAAAATGCTAGCAATTTTGCTCTAGGGATGGCAATGCCGGTCAGTTGGTCCACCACTTTGGTGCAGCCTGAAAATATCTACTTGGTTTGGTTTTAATTAGTTATTTGATGCTATAAAAAGGGGGTTTTATGTCATGATTGACAGCTGCGCCCTACTGGTGATTGAGTCAGCCGGGCATATGGGCGGGATCCCGAACGCCACTGTGCAAACTCTGGCTCTGAAGGGCGAAATATGTGTGTTAGAGATATTTTGGCCTCATTTTTGTATAGTGGGAGGAGGTGGTAAGAGACGTCCATCTTTTATATGTCAACAGTATGAACACGTAGCTCCAAAACTAATGACCTTCCCATTGACGTCAACTGCGCTTAGTGTTCGGTGCTAGTTAACAAATGTTAGACCGCTAACAAACTAACAACTAAACTGAGATGGTAATCATTATACGTGTCAAATATCAGCGTATAATCTCCAGGCCTCCACTTTGTAACTTCTAACTTCTGTAAAGCTTAAAGAAGATCTCCCCAGAGACACGAAAGACATTCTTCACAAGCTGAGTAGTATATTCCCCATGACAACTAAAGTGACCTTTATATATTAGGAAAATGTGTCAACCTATTTTCCATAATGTGACTGTGTCCAGTTATGAGAGAAGACAGAATAAAATTCTAAATGTCAAAGTATTCCTCTGAGTTTAAAGATGAGTCTGTCTTAAAAGAATAAACACAAAAGTTAACATAACAGAGAAAGACAATAGTTCATTGAAATAGAAAAATAAAAGGAAAGGTAATGAAAACACAACCAACGAATAGACAGCCTCGTCTTATCAAGAGTGGCAACAACTGTGGGAATGGAAATCACTTCACTCCTCTGACATGCTGCAAATGACTAAAATAAATCGATGAAAATACAGAGAGCAATGCAACATGTATGAGGAGATTGCTGTAGTAGAAAATGAGTACAACCAACTGCAGCGTGTTTCTGTATTTAGTTACATTTTCTCACTTTGTAGCATTTTTTTCCTGTCAAATTGGTAAAGACTTTTCTTAATTCACATAGTTTTTATATATTTGCATGTGTTTTCTTAAGCTGCTGTATGTTGAGCTCTCAGGGCCACCGTACTGAAGGGTTTTTGCATGTCTTTAGATACAGTAGCATAGGAAAGGGGGGGGGGGGCTGATAAAACGCACAAAATTATCTTTATTTTATTAACTCTTTAGGCGCCGGGTTTTATTTTGAAAAATACTAGATTTTTACATCTAAATTTCAGGAGGCTCTGGCTTGAAAGTGGTTTGAGATAGAGACAAAGTGTAAATGAGAGAGAGTTGAACTTATTTCATCAGATTCACCCCCCTCCATCTATTTGTTATGTTGTCCACATATCAGATGAACAGGGAAAAAGTAAATTGTAAGCCAACAGTCGTAGACTAGAACTATTACTACCACAAAACTCATGTAAACAGTAGGCGTTTACGATTTTTTTTTTTTTTACCCACCACTACCTATTGGAGGACACTTTTTCTTTTCTTTTTTTCTTCTCTTCTTCATTATTATTATTATTATTATTATTATTATTATTATTATTATTATTATTATTATTATTATGATTATATGATAATAATAACAGTAGGCATCTTTTAGCTGCATCTATCCAGATAAAAGTTTGTAGTATTTGTAGAGTGTGGAACCTCTCATTGCAATACACAGTAAAGAGACAATATGAACAATATTGAGAGACTCCCCCACCACCACATAGCCTAACAAATGGACAGGCACACTGTCCCATGGCTGCGCAGTGTGACCGGCGCGGTAGAAAGAGTGAACACTAACGCTGGTCCCAGCGCTATTCTCACCACACTCGCTACTTCTACCACATCCATTAGCTCCCCTACTGATACTACGAGTTTGTGTATCATTTCCACTCCCACCTCTGTTGGGCAAAGGGTCGTGTGTTTGTGCTTGTGTATTTTCCTCGCTTTGCCCGGCAGCGCCATTGCTATGCAAAGACGCACCGTGACTAGCACGCTCACTAATCGACCGACCGTCATCTCCCAAAGGTAGATTTTCCCCTTCAGAATCAGGATCGGCAAATAGGAGACGCATCACTTCCCTAAGCGTCAACTTTTTGCTTGTCATTTTCGTTTATTTCGTCTCAATAACTCCTAAATCCAGCAATACCACTTCAGCATAAACAGGGCCGTGGCACACTATTTCCGGTTTCTCACCCAACAGTTTGGATGGGACTTCCTCGAAGATTTTGCATTGAAGCATGACGTATTTCTGAATAGGTCTAAGTACGGGATGTCTGCCAACTAGTGGAGGGGAGTATGAACGAGATATAACACTCTATTCGGAGAAAACTGCTGTTTGATTCAGTACCGTGTCGTGTCGCAGTTTTGCGACTTTGGTGCTTAAAGGGTTAAGATATTTAACATTAGTTTTCAGATCTAACTAGTTAACTAAAAATTGATGATGATTTTCTTGCGTATTGCTAGCTTACTTAAACATAGATAAGCCTAACACATATCTAAGTACAGGAATGGAGCAAGTTGACAAGTTTCTGACTTGTTCAACTGTTATTGGAGCACAGAGCAAAAAGGGGTGGGACTTAAGAATAGTTAATTTGCATGGATTCCGTAATCTTGGGCTCAACTTTTGCATTACAATGTTTCATCTACAAACCTTGTTCCATTACAGTAACACACACAAGCCCATACCTGATATGCCCAAGTCGAAGATGGCGAGGTTAATAGTCATGAGCTCGGGAGGCTTCAACTTGGTCTTGCGTTTGAAGGTCATATAAATGACATAGCCATTCCCCGTTGCAGACATGATTCCTGTAAGAGAGACAGAGCAAGATTAGAACTTCTGAGACACCAGTCACAATTGGTTCTACATTCATTTGAATGCATTGTCTGCGCTTAAATGTGGTAGTTCAAATCTAATTTAGCTGGCAGAGCAAGAAGGATGGTCATACTTTTATTGGATCCCCAGTCACAGGCACACAACTTTGCATTTTTATGCAAATGTTATTGTTGTGCTTGTGTTGGGCTGATATAGATATTGACTTATTATATTTCAGCACACTGTCATTGAGTAGAGAAGCTGCACAGAAGCAGGTGAACAAGGCTGGTAAAGTTTCAGATAAGAAAAACCCAATAAACAGACTAGAATGTCACAGTACAGCTACCCTGCAGACATACAGTAGGTGCATTTTATCAAGTAGCTAATTAGACAGGAAATGCCCACTTACCTTCATTGTCATTATCATTAATTTATATTATTATATAAAGATTATTATGAGGTTTCATACAGAAACCCAATACACACTTCACAGGGGGAGGCTGTGTAAAGTCTTGCTTACATGTAAATGCTTTATTTTTATTTATTTTTTTACAATTTATTTATTGAAAATTTTCAAAACAATAAATAAAAAAAAAACATTAACAATGCAATGGAGTCATAATCAACATCAGCATCATACCCTTCCCACCCCCCACCCCAAATGTCTGTGGCGTACACAGAGAAGTAAAAAAAAAAAAAAGAAAAGGTGAGACAAATAAGTTAAATTAAGATAGCAATTATTACAAAAATGGGCTACATTCACAGTTGTGACACGTGGACCATATGTAAAAAAATAAAATAAAATAAAATAAATAAAAATAAAATAAAAAAACAAAACAGGATAAAAAGTACAAAGGTTTGTAGGTACAAGAGATAAAGGTACTAACAGGAAAAGGCTTGGATGAAGCTGTATCATTGTCTTATATAGCATTGTGTTACACTCAACCTTCCGGCAGTTTGCCCACACTTTAGGTGGATTATAGAGCCCTCATCACCCACCTTTGCATCTACAGCAACGCCCGCAATACCTCAAAGACCTCCTTACCCCTCACTCATCCACCCGTAACCTCCGGTCCCAAAGCACAAACCTCCTCCATCAGTCCCGCTTAAGACTCCGCACCATGGGAGACCGAGCCTTCTGCTCCGCTGCCCCTCACATTTGGAACTCCCTCCCTGAACATCTGCGAAAACCCCAGTCAGTGGACACTTTTAAAAAAGGGCTTAAAACTTTCTTGTTCAGGCAGGCGTTCTTAAGTTGTCCTTAGATTTTTTCTCATTTCACTATGCACTTCAACTCCTCTTTTAGCTGTTTTTCTTAATGTATTTTATCACTTGTATTATTATTGGTTGCTGATTTTAATGTGTTATTGCCCTTAGTGCTTTTTGTTATTTTGTTTCTTGGTTTCTGTAGCACTTTGAGATTCTTTTATGAAAAATGCTTTACAAATAATATTATTATTATTATTATTATTATTATTATTATTATTATTATTATTATCATTATTATTATTATTAGAGCCACACGAAAGCCCCACACACCCACTAGTGCCAGCAACTCCCTAAAGGACACTGCAGCACAGTTTTCAAGTTTGACCATGGGCATCACAATTAGGAGATATTCTATTACGTAGAAAGGTTACCAATCCTCCCCAACATTTATCAAAGAAACCCCAGGGGACTCCTCATTTTTCCAGTGAATGGCTATACATTTATTAGCTGCGATCAGGACTAGTCTGATAAAGCAAGTACTGCCTCTCACATTGATTGGTAAAACTGATAGATCCCCCAATAGTGTCAGTCGTGGGTTGGTTGGGATTTCCGCCCCCACAATTGTTTTAAATCTGTCCAAGATGGATCTCCAGTACTGCTCCAGACTTCTACATGTCCAGAACATATGTAGAAGAGTACCTGCTTCAGTCTTACATCTGGGACAGTATTCCGAGTATAGCTACTACTTATCCTATGAAGGCGCTGATGTGTCAGATAAACCCTGTGAATAAGATTAAATTTAAGATTAAAAGAGTTTGTGTCTACTGTTGTAGGAGAATGATTGAGAGCTCTTACAAATCTCCTCCCATTCAAAGTCCTCGAAAGCATAATCAATGTCCATTTCCCACTTAACTTTCACATTAAGAGTGTTCTTTTCTGCCAGGCTCATGAGTCTGTTATAGGCATAGGATAAAAAGCCTTTAGGATTATGCTTGTCTTGTATCATACTCTCTATTTGAAAATCCTCTAAAGAGGTAAGTTTCCCACCCTGCTGCACTCTAATATAGTCTCTAACTTGTAGAAACTTAAAAAAGTGTGCCGAGGGGAGCCCAAAAGAGGTTCTCAGTTGTTCAAAGGATTTCAGATTATCGTGCTCATATAGATGTCCAAATGTACATATGCCTCTGTTATACCAGTCTCTGGTAATGCAATCTCTCAGTGCCCCAGGTAGAACAGGATTAAAATGAAATGGAGTAGACCTATATATTGCGTGGACACTTTGGAACTTTGCTCTGATTTCATGCCATATTTTAGATGTGTGTTTTATCATTGGGTTTTGAGTTTCCTTTTTTTGACTGTGATAAACTGTATGAGATTGTTCAGATTTTTTCCAGGCTGGAGGATGCTCTAAATTTTTAATCCAAGTCCATACAGCTCTGGATTGAGCAGACAAATAATATAATTGAAAGTCAGGCAGGTTTAGACCTCCTTGTTCAGTGGGGCGACAGAGGGTTTTGAGTTTTACTCTTGGAACTTTACCATTCCACAAGAATCTAGAAATCAGTCTGTCCAGATTTTTAAAAAAGAATTTGGGGATTGGAGTTGGAAGCGCTTGAAATAGGTAAAGGAATTTAGGTAGGACATTCATTTTTATACAGTTTATTCGTCCAATTAGGGATATAGGTAGAGACTTCCACCTTTCCAAGTTTATATGGAACAAGTGATTTGAATGAATTTTTAGCATATTATTTACTGTTCAGGGAACTTTCTATACAATTTGCTGTCTGTATTTGTTTTCTTTTTTAAATCATTTTAACATTCATATAGAATTAACAGGCTTCTTTTCTGACATTCTGTGTTTTCTTGTCCCTGGAATTGGCAATTGTTCGATTAGACAATTTACTTAACAATTTACTTTTCTTAACAAAAGTGAACATACTGTTGTGATTTAGGTATACTGTGTATATTTTCATTTACCTTTCTTACACCCCTTAAAGTCAAGAAGTCCTTGCAACCCCCCATGAAGTATTAGTGACCCTTAGTCCTGAATTCCAGGTTGGGAACCACTGCTCTGTTGTATGGTGTTGCAATATGGCAACAATTACTTTATATCAATTTTATTAAAAGGCAGTAATATAAACATCCATACTTTACTGTTTAGTTGTGAAAAGGGGGTATTTTACTTTGATAGTACAAATACACATCACGTCACATTTGCCATTCCTTTTTCCATGGACAAGTGACACTTGATTATGACCTGAGGGCTCCCAAAGTTGACTAATGGTTCCATATTTAGGCAAAATTCCATCAACAAACAAATGTAAATACTATCTGGAGTAAGTTCACTTAATTATCAAATAAAATCAGTTTACATGTGATGTGTAAAATGGTCAAATGTGTTGCCTGAATAAGAAATCACTGGAAATGATTGTTATAACAAAAGGAATCACGATATGCCACCCAAATGATATGTTGGTCCACTTTTGTCTACATTTCTAGTCAAAAAGTCCATACAGCTTTAAAAATGTTCTGAGACATGTTCGAAAGATGAAGGAGAAACAATAAAATACTTTAGTACAGCTTGGAACAGTTGTGTAGTATTACATCATGACTTTCTGTTATTAAGTGCTGGATGTTTTCTGCAGTTCAGAGATTCCAAGTGTGGAATAAGTACTCTTCCCAGCCTTGCACTATCAATTATCTTCCAGTATGTCTACTCTGGGCAGCCATACGGCAGTGTGAAATGTGAAGCCAGAAGCAGATATTTTTAGTAGTATAATTTTAGTCATTAGATCTAGTGTGGTACAATCATGTTATATTCAACTGATACATTACAGAGGCCAGGTATTTTCTTTGATTAACACAGACCTGCAGAGGGTCAGTGATGCTTTTATTTCCTCCAGACTTCATTACTGTCATTACTGACAACACTGTTGCCAGGCGTCTAACACGTCTCCAAGAGACATGATCATATTACCTGCAATCCGTGATGCCCTTAAGTGGTGCCTGTCTATTTGAGAATTGATTCCAAGATTCTACAGCTGATATTTTAAGCTTTAAGGTTCCTGCATTTCTGTGATTACCTTCTTATCAGCATGATCACTGCTCAAAGTCCGGAGGAAAACAGACTGTGTGAGCTCTGATTTGAGTGAAGTCGAAAGTGAGTCTCAGTTTCTTTTGCACTGCACAAATTAGGATGACCTAAGAGAATCAATGTACACACATCAGGTGACAGAAACCCTGAAATATTGTGGTGTACTGATGAACAACAATTGGAATGCCTTTTTAATTTGGATGCATTTAGATTTTCTAACTTTGTCTCAAAGGCGTGGAACAGAAGGCGAGATAGAAGCTTTAGAATTAATTGTGACTCTTCAGTAATGGATAGGTAAGGTTTGTACTATGTATTGACACTGTGAAGATAGTGATGTGTGTATATGTATATATATATATATATATATATATATATATTCTTTGATGTTTGACAGTGTATATGCTGAGACTGGTGTCTTGTAAGCCCTGGCAGGCTGGGTGTAAATGCACGCCTCACATAAAAACATTAACATTATAGCACCAACTCTGCCTATTAGACAACTGTAGCTCAATGCTAAACATGTACGCATTTGGTGAGTTAATTGTTGCTTAGAATCTGCTCCCAAGACCTCAGTAAGAATAGCTATTGATGAGAGGCTTGAAAGCTTGCAGTTCGTAACCATGGAAATCTCCCTCATCACTGCCACTTAACACGGATGGAGCATTATTTCTAGGGCTAAATCAAATAATT